TTTGTAAAATATAACAGGCTTACACATTATTTATTCTATAACTTCTTCATAAAAAATATTAATAAAAAAAAAAAAACACTAGCCATGTAGTTTTAATGGGAGATACATATACTATTAATTTCAATTCAAATTATTACTCTTCTTGTCACATCTATGCATAACCATCACCAACTGCAGAGTTATGGTGGAATTTAATACAGTCACATTTAATATTGATGTGTTATATTAAATCAGAATTTTGAAATTAAATTTAAATTTTTTATGGACCAATAAGTTAAGTGGAATTAGTAATACTTGGACTTAAAACCCTATTTATTGATAATATTAGACCAAGTGTCAATCTCACATTTATGCTTTTTAACCTTTTAAGTTATTTACTATATTATATTAGCTTGATGACATGTTACTGTAGTGTGAAATGTTGGTAGTAATATATAACCTTAGTAAAGTGGAGGGAAGCATTTTAATAGTAGAAATTGTGATAATTTTATCACTCATAAAAATATACTGTGTAATTAATGAATTCTATATGATAATTAAGTTAGTTATTGCCGATAATTTGAAGTTTAACTTTTAATACTAAGTACTTTTGACCTGGAAATTATTAAATAAATAATAATTAAGTTTTGGACATATTTTAAGCAAAAAAGATGCTTTCAATCAATTTTTACTAACTTTTTTAGGCTATATTAGGAGCATATTCTCTGACTTTTTATTTTTTTGCTTGCTTTCAAATAAGTGATTCAGTTAACTTATTAAGAAAATAGTTTTGGAATATATTATTACTATGTTATAATTACATGATAAAAAATTAATGAGATAACTACCATATAAATCTATAAGGAACCTTCTAATAAAAATTAAATTGATCATATTTATATAGTCTCTTTTCAGAGGAGAAAATAAACTTGGAAGTTATAGTTTTTAGCCTGCCTTAATTTACATCTTTTAAAATATCCAGCAAAATGGATTCTAATGGGAAAATTGATTGTACCATAAAATGACTATTAAAACATAATAATAAAAGCAAGCTACTAAAAGAAACGAACAAACAAGGAGTCAATTTTAGAATTATTTGCACTTTGCTACCTACCAATAATAAGGAGGTACAAAATTTGTTGATGGAAGAAGCAGAACTAACTGGAGGGTTTGGCTAAATGGTTCGGTTCTCCCATTATGGATTTTTGTCTTCAGGTTTGCAATGCCCGGTACTCAGTAGAGTGCCAACAAAGGAAGAATTGTGTTTGATCCCTAATGGCTAATCAATGCATTACCAAAAATGCCATTAAAGAATCCGAGCGAAGAAAAAAAAAACATTGATCAAGATACTTTCCTGAGTCTAACAGTCATCTTGGAGATTGAACTCTTCAAATTATCACAGCGGTTGCGGTGATAATCAATCAAGATGCAGAGTTGCCGTATAGCCTCTCTTTTCTCCTCACCAAGACCCAACAACCTTTCATTTTTCTCTTTTATTCTTTCCTCCAGTTCTTCTACCTTTTCCTCTAGTTGCTTCACAGCTTCCCTCAGCTTCCATGTTTCACCTCCTTCTTTGCTTACCTCTGACTCTAACTCCCAAACTTTCTCCTGTAATAAAATTTTTTCTTCTTCCTTGTTATCTACTTGTCTAACAAGACAATTCACATTCTGCTTCAGTTTTTCCACTTCATTGTTTTTCTCAGCAACCCAAACTTTTGCTAATTGGAGATCATTTGAGATCTTGCATATGCGATGGACAAAGTTCTCATTCTCCTCTAACTTCCTGGTTATTGAGTCCAATCCAGGAAACACATCATAGGCTGGATAGAGCAAATCTTTTATTTTCCTGAACTGAGCTTCATACTTTGCAACAACCACTTCAAGCCGGAGACCTTCTTGTTCTGAAAGCTCCTTTGTTCTCCTATATTTATTTCTGTTTTCAATGTGTATTTGTTCTGCAACATGGATTCTACGGTACAATATGCGAATATGATCTTCCATTTTCATACGGAAATCTTCTGCCAGTTCTTCCATTTTCCGTTCCAGAAGATGGGTATTTAACTTGGACTCTTTGAATCCAAAGGACCAACGTTTCAGTATCTTTTGCTCTTCAATTGATTTCTTAATTATATCTTCTTGTTCCTTCAGGACTCTCTGTTGATCAGCAATCTTGCAGGTTAACTTCATGTTTTCATCTTCTATTTGGGTCAGGCTCTGCAGATATTTTTGTTTCTCTCCCTCAATTAGCAACTCCAGCTGGCATTTCTGGGCCTTCAGTGTATCCAGCTCCTGCTGCATACGTTCAATTTGCACTTTCAAGTCCACAATTTGAACAGAAGCTTCATTTTCTTTAACCTCAAAAATCCTTTTAAGAGAATCAATTTCTTCCTCTCTTTTGGTAAATGATCCCTCCAATTCTGTACTTATACCATCCAGTCCCTCCTTTTCCTCCTGGAACTGATTAGAATCGAATATTTTACTTTTTATCTGATTTTCTAGTTCCTTTTTCTGTTCATGTAAGAAGACCACTTCCATTTCCAGGTCCTTCACCTTAGCTAAAAGACCTTCCTTCTGTTCCATCATTATCTGCTCAGCCAAAGTCTTTTTTCCTAATTCCTCTGTCAGAGTTTTCACCTCAATGAGGTTTTGAGAAATTTCTTTGTTTCTCACCTCCAATAGCAATTCTGTTTCAAGTTTTTGACTATGTAGGGATGTTAATTCATGTTGCATATTATTGACCTGATCCATTAAGCCCTTGAATTGATCTACCTCTCCATCTTCATTACCCAATATATTTCCTTCAGGTTGTCCATTTTGAGCTTGTAAAGATTCTAACTCAAATTGCAGATTGCTCACAAGATTCTTCAAATCCTGAATTCTTGACAGTGAGTTGTTCTCATTTTCTCTAACTTTTTCCATGAGAGGAGACAAGTGAAGTTCAGAAATCAAGGATTTCAGTCCCTCGCTTTCATGTTCACTTTCAATTGTTTTACTCTCAATCCGTTCTTTGATGCCTCTTTTCTCATCATACTGGGTTTGCAAGTCAGTTTTTAGGGCATTTAGTTGCTGATCCAATTCTTTTAACCATGTTGATGCTCGATTACCTAGAAACTCACTCAACTTCTTGAGACTAGAAAATTCCCCTTCTTTCTCATTTGCTTCATTACCGGGATGCTTGTTAATCATCTCTGCTTCTCGTAGCTTGCTTAAAGCTGTCAAATACTCCAAATTTAAAGCTTCCTTTTCTTCAGTCATGGATTCCAACTTAAGCTTCAGTTCAGCAACCTCTAAATTTGCTGTCACAAGCTCTTCCTTATCGCTTTTTGCCATGTCGTGACTCTCATTTTTCAACTTGCTGTTATTTCTGTCTATTTCCTCTGAGGAATAATATTCTGAGTCTGAGTCTGAGCTGGAGTGTGAAGAACAAGAATTTAACCTATCTCTTACACGAAACGTCCTCTCCGACTCTTCTTTAAGGCGATCACAGTGAGAGCAGAGTAATAGATACTGTTCCTGCAGGTCCTTAACAAGTCCCAGAAGTTCTTTCTTTGTGTCTTTGGGAATTTTATCCTTATTTTGGATTAGTTGCAAGATCTTTGCAACTTTTTTTTCCATTTCTGCAAATATGATGAGAAAAAAGAAATCTAGTTACTTTAAAAATTGTTAATAAGTTGAATAAAATTTCAAAGAAATTTCTACAACTTAATTACAGAACAGAAGAGCTCAAAAGGGATCGGATTGCATATATGCAAGGTGAAAATGTAAAACTGATTTTAGGACGAACTAATAAGTCTCTAGCTTTGTGATTTTAGCTAGTTAGACGAGCAACAGATTCAAAAACAACTTTTGTTTTTCATTCCTATCTCCTGATTGTTAAATAAAATTTAGATTGTCTAGAATTATATAATTGCACCTGCTCTAAACTCTTCCATTGGACCCAGATCAAGTTGATTTCCAATGATCTTCATTCACTGCAGATACTTGAGTGTCTCCATTTACAAGTTCCAGTAGATTTTTTTTAATGAATGGCTGTGAAGGAAAGTCTTCTCCATCTCAAACAGCAAAGAGTAGAGATCTGAATGAAAATGGGAAAATAAAAAAACTCTTATAAACATGATGATTTGAATTCAATATTCAAGGATGTGGAAGTGGACCAAAACACGATTTCTTGAAACAGTTAGTAGTCAGTTTGCACAACTCCAGTTACTTGTCTAGTATAGACAATCCACATGGTGACTATATATTACGGAGTAGAAAGTTCAAACAGGTTAAATTAAGAAATTAATCATTTTAGTGAAGCTCTTGGCCCATAAGAACATAGAAACAAGGGACACCAAACAAGAAATGTTCAGAACTGAAAAATACTTTTCTCTCTTTATTTTCGTTATGCATTAAAGTGGTATTCAGGCTAGCTTGCACACACCATATACCGCAACTAATTCACCTCTCCTTTTCAGTCAACTGCGTATCATCGGCATAAGGATTAGGGGATCCGAAAGCTTTAACCACTTGAACTATCCTGTGGAAGCAAACCTCATCTTTCTCATATTGTAGTCAACTGCCTAAATTTCTAACTGTATTTTTCTTTAAAGATTTATGGGGTTCCCCACTCCCTCAATACCACAATCAACTTCTGAAAAGAAGAAAATATAAAAAATATCATCAATAATCTTTTCAGTTTTTTTTTTTTCCAAAAAAAGGCTCTTCTAATCTATTGCTAATGTCCATTTTCCCACACATATTGATAAGAATGGCATAATCCATAAAAGAACTATTGCACTACATACTTGATCCCAGCTTCTCAAAATATCCAATTAGTCTTGACTCTTTTTTGGTTGAAAAAATAGTCTTGACTTATTATCATATGTTACAAGAGAAATTTGTACTGGTTATCAACGAATAGTTGATTATTCTTCCGACAACTAAGGACCAAAATTCAAATTTTAAATACCTACTGAAGATATGCCCCACCAGAAACAGTGATCCATCACTAATTTCATTTGATCTCTCTAAATGTAACACGCACGAGTTTCTTCAGCAACAATGGGGCCACCCACTTAACAATATGAAGAAATTCAAACAATCCTTTTCTTCCAGTTCGTTAACAACCCACCTATAGCATAGAGCCATGTAAATAGAACCCTAATCAGAATATTAGAACAATGGAACCACATAACTTTCTCACTACAAAACGTGATTTGTGCTTCAGTTAGTTGGACGTCAATTGCGAGGAAGTGACGTGCAGCGCAAGCCGAACGGTATTCCAAAAGTTCCAGGTAAAATGCAATCGAACAGTCTATCCAATTCCAGGGAAAAATAATCCAGATCTTCCTTATTTTTTTAGGCGGAACAAATCGAATCTTTAGATTAAAGACATTCACGCCAAATTAGCAGATGATCTAGATTTTTCTTATATTTTGCTTTCCGGACATCTATCATAAATTGGGAAGATTATTCCTATGCTTGAAAACTTCTCCATTTTGCGAGGAGTAAGATATTAATATGAGATTTAAAATTATACATTTGAGTATTTTCCTTTTTCCTGCATGTTCTCAGGAACCAAACAAAAGACTGATTGTTTAATAATTCAGAGGGAGAAGCAAGAGATAATGAAGATTACCTGGAAATCGGATGCGAATATTCACGCTGCAAATCTAGGAACAAAAAGACAATGAGAGAATTAATTAAAATTTAAGAGCCTCTGAGTTTCAGTGTTTTTTTGAAACAAAAAAATAAAGAGGAAATGAAAAAGAAAAAATTAGAAAAGTTGATTAATATAATATTATTAACTGAACTCTTTTTTAATCATTCCAGCTGGAGGAGATGGAAATTTTGGCGATTCTACGATATGATTATCCTCCGATTTTGATATTTTTACAGAGAAAACCACCGAAATTCTCATCTCGCGAATTCTGTGAAATTATCGGCCACGTGGCCTAGGCCGTAATTTAACGGAATGAAAATATTTGTATTCTAACACATTTTGTTTTTGGTAACAAGAAATATTGTTAAAAATATATTTCGGGATTCAAACTTTTTATTTTATTTTTAATTTAATTAGTATTATTTTTAACCAACTAAATGAAGAAATTATAATACTGTTGGATTTAAAACGACACATCTTAGTGACTGGAAAAATGGGCCGGGTTGTCGGGTTTTAAAGCTTGACTTTTGTTGTTATTCGGAGGTGGGTTACAAAGAAAAGTCGGGTTGGGTTGGGAAATTTTGACTCCCTTTCTTAATGCATTATTCACGTATTTATATATATAAATAAAAAAGCAAACTTGAATTTTTATTTTAAAACTAAGTATTTATTTAAAGACAAATAAATGTTTATTTTTTAAAATGATATCTTCAAATAATCAACCCAAACTTTAGCCTACTACACAGATATATACAGACACACACACATGTTGACAAATAAGCATTTACTTAAAACACACAATCAATAAAAACGTTAATCTAATAAACTGATATATGCATGTATGCACACATGTTGCACGTGCCACTGATCAAAGTCACATAGCCCATCATTTCACTATCCATGGTCTGGAGTAATTGGGCTATGCAGTTGTAAAACATTTTAAAATATAAAACATTGTACCATGGAATCATTTGGTATCTACTCAAATTTTTTAATTTAGTTTAAACAAAGATATTATTTTGATATATTTTATTAAACATAACATAATTAATTAAATATTTAAATAAATTAGCAACTCATGGTTGAAAAATTTAAATTTATTTAAAATACAAAACAGTGTATACAGAGTAGTAGGTATACAAGACTTCATATCCTCAAAATAAAGACATCAACAGTGCATGTCTAATAGAGTCATAATATTTTAGGAGGCATAAAAACATAAAAGAAAACATGATCCAGTAGCTAACAACATCGAGACAAGTCAGATGATCATGGATCATAAGCATACAAATCATTTTTGTGATTGAACATGCAATCATCTCATCTATAGTTGATATTGATGGGACAAACTAAAACAGATCACCAAAATAGCTTAAAATAGAAAGTTATACCTGCCAAGAAAACTTTGCTCAAATGTACTAAGCCTAGGAATTAGTATACACGACAAAGCACATGGGTTTTAATAGATGTTGGAAACAGAGGTGCAACAACTGTAGGTAGAAACAAAAGAATGGTAGAGCCAGCGCCCTTAAGAATTAGAAGGCTAATAAGGGAGATTTCTTCGAAAGGTTGGGGTAGTGAAGTGAAAATGAGCTCATGGCTTTTGATAGATTAAAAACAAAAACAAAAAAAAAATACAATTCCCTTTGGTATGAATTTAGAAAGAGAAGAGAGAGACAACATCATGAAACAAAGATGAGAGAATGTGGTAAATCAGTGGCGTCTAACAATGTATAAGACTTCTTTTAAATGTATTGCTTGTAAATGCACCCACTTAAATGATAACTTCCCTTTAAACATTAGACTTATTCCTTATATTGAAAGTGTCTATCAGAATTCATAATTAGTCTCATAATTAGAAATTTGCATCAACATTTTACAGTTAATCTCATCCCTAGTTTGTATCAATTTTGGAATTAACCTCATGCTCATAGGTTGCATTGTGCTGAACAGTTTGGATTGATTTCATATGGAGATTGGCATAGTAGTTTGGAGTGAATATGTTCATCCTCGGACCAAGTTCTGCTAGTAAGAATATAAACTCATATATATATATCATATACTCAAACAAGATTGAAAAAGAAAATTATTTATTTGCTGTCTACCTCATAAATAAAATTTTATTTATTCCTGTCACTCGCGGTATGTATCATCTTTTTATTTTTTATTTTATAAAAAATTATATTTAAATAAATAATTAAAAAAGATTAATAGTTAATCAAAATAAATATTTAAGTAATATTCAAACATAATATACTAAATAATAAACATAAAATATCATTATAAATATACAATATTAAATATATTTTTAATTAAAACTGATTATTTTGAGTATAATTAAAAATAAATATAAAATTTTATTAATAATACATAGTAGGCGAGATACACTATTAAATCTGTACTTGATTCATACATATTTTGAGTTTAAAACTTTTTACTCACATTTGTTTCATACTTCTTTAATTACGAGGTTTTATCCATCTTATCTAAGGATGGGTTGGTGTGAATTGGCAAATAAATCGCCCATCTTTGATTTTATATTCAAAATTTAAACTTTATGTTCAAAATTTTTTACATCTGTTTCACAGCATGCACCAAAGCTCAAAGTTTACACTTATTTTTTTTTTTTTTATAATATAAACATCTAATCGAGAGTATAGATTTCAAGATCTACAATGAACTCAAAGTTTAGGCAAAATTGATACCTAGTTTAGAGTTAACCTTGAATTTCATATTGGTTTTTAAATTCAAATTATTTGCTTAGTTTTTTTATAAGATTAACTCATAAATTAATTTCATTTTCTTTTGTATAGTTTATAATTTTAACTCGCGTGAGTACGAATATGATACAATTTAAATTTTTGAGACAAGAAGCATAAATATTATGCAGTTTAAGCATGTATAATAGTGAGCACGTTTTTGCTTTACAAATAATACCTAAATTTTTTGTTGATCGAACAAAATCTCCATTCAACTTGATTACTATTAACTCAACTTAGTTGACTTCTTTTAGACATTTCATTTATGGGCGTTGAATGAGATTAGCTTGAAGAAGACTTTCCAACGTGCATGAGAAATCTGAGTTAGAAAATGGATATTAATTAAATATAGATAAGCTTGACAAACACAATTTAGGTGCTTGATAAATTAGAATTAGAACACACCACTGAAGTTTAATAACCACATTGTTCCTTCTTCAATAGTTTCTTTAAGAAAAAAAAAAACAATTTGAATACTCTAATAACTTGATTTCAAATCAAAGCTTGAAGTTGGATGAAAAATTGAAAAAAAATCTTTATAGCTTTCATGCTTGAGATGATATAAGTCCCATGTTAAGTGCAATATCCAACCTCTAAATTAAATGAAGGAATATGTAAACATTTAATAAATTAGAATTGGGATTTAAATGAAAGAATTTTATTAATTTTGAGAGTTTTAATCAATTTTAAGGACTTAAATGAAAACAAGTAAGAAAAACGGGAGTGAAAGTATAAATAAGTTGAAGTGGAATGGGGCAAAAAGAAATAGGGAACAGATAGTCCTGATCGAACTGTCAGAGGAGATCAAATGACTGAGATTTAATGGAGAACAGACGGCCGAGATCGAGTCAGGGAGATCCAACGATTGGGCGAATGGGTATAAAAAGGAAAAAAAATTAGGATTTCTCTTTATTTATGAGAGTAGCTGAAAAAAAAGAGAGAGAGAAGGAGAGAGGAGCCGATCGGGGAGAGAGAAGGAAGAAGTTTGTCGCAGGGGGGAGGGAGGGGGAGTCGAGAGGAGAAAGAAAAAGAGGAAAAGAAGAGGGAGGCCAGAGAAGGAGGAGAGGAAGGAGAAAAAAAGAGTGGCCGAGCGGGAGAGGGAAGGAAGAGCTGAGCATGGTTGCCGCAAGGGAAGAAAAAAAGGAAGAGGAGAGAGAGGCAGAGGCGGGAGAGTGGTGTAAGCTGAGCCGAAAAAAAGGAGGAAGAGAAAATGACCTGAGACGCCGTGTGACGATGGAGACCGAGGCACGCGAGGTAAAGGTTCGTCCTTTTCGTCTTTTCTTTCTCTATTTTCCTTTCAATTTTTTTTTCTATTTTATATTAATCGATTTTTTGGGTGTGAAAATCATCATTCCAATCGTAAGCAAGCAAGGGAGCTGTGGGGTGATCGAAAGAAAATTACCAGGAGCCAAACTGAGGCCGAATCGCCCCATGTTGGAAAGGTAAAGCATTTTTTTTGTGTTTTTGAAGGCTGTTGAGCAGTGGGGGAGTGTTGGTCAGGTTGGCTGCGCGAGTTCGGCCTGGCCACCCACCCGTGCAGGAATCGAGGAGCCTTCATCAGGAGTGGGAAACTGGCCCGCCAATGGAAGCCAAGGGGCCTTCTTCGGGAATGAAGACTGGATTCACCCTTTTGGGATTCCGATTCACCGTTCAAAAAACTGAAAAATCTTCCTCAAGTACAAGAATCCGATCTGCCGAACGGGAAGCCGAAAGACCTTCCCTACGTACAGATCTCGATGTTTTCGGGATCTTCCGTCAGGTTATCATTAAAACACCTAAATTCATTTAAATTAGTTTTGTTTAGTAATTAAATTATATTAATTGATTTGTGTCGTGCACGCACAGAAAATTAGGACGTTCAGGCAAATCCAGGAAGACTGTTGTATAGGAATGTAAGTATTTCTGATTCTAAACCTAGATTCAGATTTTGAAATTTGCATGAATTTTATTAATTTATGTGTATTTTAAAATTTGAATGGATACTGACCCGATTTTTGATGGAGAATAGAACCCGAACCTATAATCAGTGAACCTAAGCTATTAAAAATTATGAGGAGACGAAACCAGAAAACAAACTCAAAGACTGATAAATACTTGGACTGTGATGAGAAATGAATTTAAAATTTAAAAAAATTCTTAATTAAGTGAAAAGTTGAAAAAAAAATAATTTAAAGAAATAAAAATAGAAAGGAAAAAGAATAATTATGGTTGTGAAGCAATTAATTAAATAAAATTTTAGGAAAAATAAAATGAGAGTAAAATAAATAAGAAACTAGAAATGAGAAAATGTGAGTTATTAGGGTATGGATCTTGAATATCGTTTTCATTTAGTCTGAATCGAGGAAGGGAGTGTGTGTGTAGTTGAAGTTCAGCGGGAATGGTGAATCTATACGTAGATAGAGTTTGAATTCTAGTCCAGATGTGAACATGTATTTGTGAGTGTGGGTCACCTAGTAAACGTATTTATTGTGGACATTATGAGATTCTGTGTATGTGTGCTATCCATGAGATGGAGAGATCTATTTCACCTCTCATCGATGACGACATAAACGACATCGCGCAATGAAACCTTAGAAATGGTCTTTCGGGTGTATATGTAATCTTTCATGTGTATGTGGTTATGTTTTGAGGTTAGAATTGATATTCGAGTGTATTTATGTTCTTTCGAGAGTGTGTAGATATACATTTGAAGATTGTATATGATATTCGAGAGAATTTAGAAATCCAATCAGAAATATGTGAAATGGTAAAAATAATAAATGAATTTTGCATTGAAACATCATTATTGCATTTGTCTCATATTGTGTGTTTTGCATTAAATCTTATTTGGGTTGAGAGAACATAAATACTTATTGAGTTGGTGAAATTCATTAAATTTTACTATGATATTTTTTAAAGGAGAAACAAGAGTTAGAACCGCTGCCAGACGAGTAGGATCTGAATTCCTATTTATGTATATTTTGTGCATATTCGATAAATTTTCGTTTTATTTTATTAAACTCTAAACTTTAACATCATGTTCTGTATATATAATGACTGTATATATCACATACGATATTAAATTGTATGATAAATTTTGATATGTGTATATGTATATTTTTATGGGTTTATTGTATGAAAATAAATTGCACTTCATATCGAGTGGGGAGTATTACACTAAGAAGTGAAATACTCGTAAATGTCAGTTCCTTGAAAAATAAAGCTATCGTATAACATGCACTAAAATGATTTCATCACTTAATCCATCTTCATCTCTACTACTTCTTGCTTCTTCTTCTTATTTCGTTAGTTCACTGCAAAAACCCTCTTCCACCTTAAGTCAATTCCCATCTTTACCTATCAAGCTCATGTCG